TATCTCAGGCCTCGTTTGGCAAGTGACTTTTTTAGTTAAATAATCAAAAAGTCACTATAAAAATCAAAAAACCAATAATTTATACTAAAAAGTTAAAGATTCTCTTTTCTCTCTACTTTTTACACATCTTTTCATAAAAAATCAAAAAATCATCCCAAACATACTAATTTTTTTTACATCACATTTTAACTAAAATATATTATTATTCTACTGTTCTACTACTACCGTTGAGCGTTAACGAGTGTTGTTGGTCTTGGAAGCCCCCTTTTTCTTTTCCTGCATTCAGCTTAATATATATTTCAACTCCTTTTTCTTTTCCTATAGATATAATTAGATTTTATACGTCGAAATACAAAATTTATAATTTGTAATTGTTAAGTCAATTTAAATTCACTACAAGAAAAGAGCCCAAATAACACGGAACTTTTTGCGACGGTATAGGTACCGTCGCAAAAAATGGTTTTTTGCGACGGCATTTTCAAACCGTCTCAAAAAATGGTCTTTTGCCCGTCGCTAATGAAATTTTTTATATCCCGCTCATTTTAGCCTATTCGCGGTCATCTGTTTCCCCAAAATCCCCAAACCTTTTTGAACCAACCCAAAATCCCTAAAAACTTTAAAACCAAAATCCCCAAAACCATTTGGAACAAAATCCCCAAAGCCCCACACACACCGTCTCAAAAAGAAAAATAGAACCAGGGTTTTTTGCGACGGCAACAATGCTGTCGCAAAAGACAGGGAAATTGGTCGAAAAGGAAGACTTTTAGCGACGGTATTATTTGCCGTCGCCAATAGTGCTTTAGCGACGGCATCAGGTGCTGTCTCAAATAACCTTTTAGCGACGGTATTTGTGCCGTCGCAAATAACTCTTTTAGCGACGGCAAGACAATGCCGTCTCAAAAAAATTCAGATTTTCACATGTTAATGCCGACAGCATTTTTCCGTCGCAAAAAAGCATTTTTGCCGTCGCAAAAAAAAGGCGACGCCGTTATACCGTCGCTAAAACCCTTTTGCAACCCCCTTTGTTGCAACCCCCCACTTACCGTCGCAAAAGGCCAGTTACCGTCGCAAAAACTTTTTGAGACGGCGTTTTGAGTATTTGCGACGGCATTTTACCGTCGCAAAAAAGCAATTTTTTTGTAGTGATTTTAAAATCTCTCTCAAATATTTTATGGGTAATGTTAGGCACACCAAATTTCTCTTAAGTGTATAGTTGAGATTGATTTATGCGGTCCACACTTTTTGTAGATCTCACACCTATGTAAGACATTTAATCATTTATTTCATAAAAAATTTAAAACCTATAGTATTTTCCTTGATTTATTGTATTGTGTGATTCATGATTTAAATGAATTTTAACTACACAATAATATTTTTAGATAAACTTTTTAATAATAATTTTGAATTTATAGCATTGTTAATTTTATAATTGTTTCTTCATCCTAGTCATGTGTTGGAGTATGTCTTCATACAGTATAACTCTCAAGTGCTTCAACATATCCGTATTATGAGTGTTTTGACAAGTTAATTAAAAGTTGATTTTTTAGATTTTTTTGTTTGTTTGTTTGTTTGTCCTTTTGTAGATAAAAAATATGAGAGGTGATGTGATTTAAAATAGATTAAAAAAGTCAAAACTAGCCTCGTGTGGCAAGTAGCTTTTTTAGCTAAAAAGTCAAAAAGTTACTAAAAAAATCAAAAAGCCAACAACTCATACCAAAAAGTCAAATATTCTATTTTCTCTCTACTTTTTGCACATCTTTTTGTAAAAAGCCAAAAAATCATCCTAAACATACTAATTTTTTTTACATTACATTTTAACTAAAAAGCCAAAAAATTACTAAAAAAACATACTCCCCAACGAGGTCTCCTTGCCAAATGAGCCCTTATTTTGACATATAACCTTCGCAAATTTAACATAAATATATTATACTTTTTTTAAAAAAAATTTAAACGCACAACTTTGCTCTCTTGTCATCTGTTATCAATTAGTCAAAAGGATAATATATATATATATATATATATTATTGCGTCTACACATAATTTGCATTAGCTTCATACGTTTTATTCTTATTGAAGGGTAAATTAGTATAATTATATCAAATTTGTACTATTTGAACTTCTTTGGTTATCTCATTTTCTTTTTTTAAATTGGATTTTTTGTTTTTTGTATATTTTTATTTTTAGTAATTTTTTTAAATATTTTATGTAATTTTTTACTTTTTAGATTTATTTAAAAAATATAATATTTGTAAAAAAAATAAAAAAATTAAAAATTTAAAAAGTTTTTTTTTAAATAAAAAAATATTAATATAATACAAAAATTAATATATTTTTGTATTCTTGTGTATTTATTGATTTTTTATATATATTCTTTTATAAATATTTTACTTTTTAAGTGCATTTAGATTAGGTGTATTTAAAAAGTTCAAAAAAAATACTTAAAATATTAAAAAAAATACTAAAAAAAAGAAAACAACAAAAAATTCTGTTTTTTTGTAAAAAAACATAGAACCAAACAATGTAAGAGTATCTCCAACCCTAAACTTCTTTTTTCATCAAATCTGATGAAAAAAATGATACTTTCCTCAATTTGATACCACTGGCTCCAACGCTTCACTTTTTATCAAATCTGCTCCGGGGACAACCGGTTGGTCGACCGGTAAGAGGAAATTATTATCTTTTTTTTCTTTTTTCTGAACTGTTTGAACCAATTTTTTTGAATTGTTTGAACCGTTTAGTGGTCGACCGGTTGACCGGCTAGTCGACCGGTAAGGTAAAAAAAAAATTTTTTTTTAACTGTTTGAACCTTTTTTTGGAACTGTTTGAACCATTTGGTGGTCAACCGACTGGTCGACCGGTTGGTCTCCCCAACGGTCATGCACAGTGTTTTGGTCAAATGCAGAACCTGTCCTCATTTTGGTGAAACGTTTGATGAAATCTTGATTTAATATCAATTTGGTAAAACCGTTGGAACATGAAAAAATGCTTTTTTTCACCAAATTTTAAATTTGATGCCAAGTTTGATTCAGGGTCGGAGATGGTCTAATTTAGGGGAGACTGATTCTCATTGTTCATACAAAGTCCAATACGATTTTGGGGGAGGTAATTATTATGCTTCTGAATCGTAATTATATTTTAATTTACTTCATTGGAGCATATTCCAGACCGATAATTATTCTTTGTTTATACGAGACCAAGTCAAAAAAATAATTATTCTCAATAATCAAACCAAACATTTATGTGTATGGTTTCAAACATTCCTGCGGAGTGGGCACACGATATTGATAAGTAAACTTCTAAGAAGAAACTACATTTGAAATTGACACAGTCGTCTGCCTATGTGAAGAAGAAGAAGAACATGATGGAATGAAAGAGGAAGAATAATAAATTTTTCGAGGCTGTTTTGATTCATGAATTTGGAAAAGAATCTGGAAAATAAAAAGAAAAAAGTGTATGAAATATAAAAGAAATATAATTATATTTTATTCATATTTTACTTATATATATATTTTTTAATTCTTACCCAAATCTTTAACAGTATGAAAGAAAATAATGCCGGAAACGATGAAACAAACAGAATTGTAGACACCAACCCCTTACATTTTCTCCTTTTCACATCCTTTCCTTTCTCGGAAAAGAACAGGTGGAGAAGAGACTTTTTAGGTTGTGCTTGAATAATTAATTTGAATAAAAATTTAGAAACGGTAAGAAAAAAAATAGAAATATGAATAAAATATAAGTTAAATTTTTTTATTTTTTTTCATTTCTTTTTCCTTTTCTAAGTCCTATCTAAATTTATAGTCCAAACACAACATTAGAAAAATAGCGACAGAGTGATAATTAAAAAAGATTTTGCACTTCTAGGCTTTTTTCAATAAGTAGTTGTTTGGAATGATGTAAATAAGTATAGTTTAACTTTTTATAAAAAAAAATATGTAGATAAATAGAGAGATGATGTGACCCAAATAAATGCACTTATTTAGTTTATGCCAAATAGTGCCTAATACTATAAACCCAAACTTAACTATCCAAAATTATCATATTGTAGTTCAGATTTACTTTATACATAAACCTTAGAGCATCTCCAACGGTAGTAGGCATTTTACCTATCTAAATATTACTATAAAGTATATATTTTATTTTTCCCATCAACTGTTTTATGTTTTTACTCCAACCATGCTCTTTATTTTAGCTATTAATCCAAGGGTAATGCTAGAGGTCCCAAATTTTCTACCAAATAAATGACCAAATGTCTCACATGGTTGTGGGGCCCACAAAATTGCGGACCCCACACTCATGTGAGACATTTGGTCATTTGTTTGGTAAAAAATTTAGTGTCCCTAGCATTACTCTTAATCCAAATACTATTAATTTTATAGAATGTCACGTCAACAACAAAGATGGAGGGAAATGATCCTAATGATTGAATACATTTTGCCTAGCGTTGAAGGCTAGCTACATGTAGCTAGTGAATATGAGTTGAGCCAAAATGCCTAATCATATATGCCTAGTGCGTTGGAATTGAAAAAAGTGAATCACACTAGGCATTTTAACTAATAAGTATGATATGTCTAGTGCATTGGAGATGCTCTTACACTATACATTCAATCTCAACCACACATTTCTATTTAGAGTAAATTCGGAGACATATGTCTGGGCCCATAGACTTGTTCCTTGGTTTATGAATTTGAAAAGGAAAATGAAATTTTATCTACATATTCCTTTTTTCTTTCTAAATTTTATCCTAAAATCCATGAATTAACAACCCTAAATAAATTTAGAATTACTTAACATTATTTATAAATATATATATATATATATATAAAATTAAATACCAACTAGAAAGAGCTTAAAAATTATGTTTTGTTTTTGTAAACTAACGCGCTTAGAATACATACATGTTCATCTTAGCAATTAAGAAATGTATGTAGTTATAGAAAGAAAAAAACAAGAAAACCCGCGAGGCTTCCTCCACAAGTGCCTTGCTGCCTACGGATCTTCAGGGGCTCCTTGTATTTATTTATAAGCTCCCTTCCTCTGCTCCATTTTGTTTTTTTGTTCTTCCTTCCTTTCTTTGACGTTATCTTCAAAATTCTCCATCTATCATCTCCGAGTAGAGATATTCGTTGGTATTTTCATAAATCCTCCACAAGTGCCTTGCTGCACGCTTGCTTTTTAATTTCTGGTTTCCAGCTAAGTTTGTTTGTTGTACAGAAATTTATTGTCATATAAAAGCACAGCTGCAGGGTAGAGAGAGATACATAGGTGGTGAAATTATTCTAGTTTAGTAAAGAGGAAGATCTAGAGATGATGGAAGGGAAGTCGAATTCATTAGGGGTGAAGAAGGGAGAAGATGAGTATTGTTTTAGTATCATGGACATGCCTCCAGGTTTTAGATTCCATCCCACGGACGAGGAGATCATAACTCATTATCTCACACACAAAGTGATGAACAGCACCTTCACTGCAAGAGCCATCGGAGAAGTTGATCTCAATAAGTGCGAACCATGGGATTTACCAAGTAAGTTTCCTACAATTATATATGATATATCCCTTTCCTTCCCCTCCCTTCCTCTCCTGTATGTTCTTTCTTTAGAATTTTAAGCCAATTTCTGTTGTGTTTGTTTAGTTGATTGAGTCTTGAAGTTCTTCAATTAATTATTTATGTTTTCCATTTAGGCAAAGGACAGAGTCGGGACTTTTTATTATCTTTTTTATTTTTTTATATATGTGTTCAATTAATTTTTAATAATTAATTGATGGTTATGCAGAGAAAGCAAAGTTGGGGGAGAAGGAATGGTACTTCTTTTGCCAGAGAGACAGAAAGTACCCAACAGGGATGAGGACAAATAGAGCAACAGAATCAGGGTATTGGAAGGCCACAGGAAAAGATAAGGAGATTTACAAAGGTAAAGAACGTCGCCTTCTTGTTGGGATGAAGAAGACTCTCGTTTTCTACAAAGGCAGAGCCCCCAAGGGTGAGAAAACTAATTGGGTCATGCATGAATACAGACTCCAAGCCAACTTCTCCAATTACTACGACCTCCCTAGGCTCACAAAGGTATATATCTATCTCTGTGGGTGTGGCTGTGGGTGTGTGTGTAAATACATGGAGTAGTAACTTATTTGCATTTCTGATCCAAATTATTTATTAGTTGGAGGAGATTCATTGGTAGTTGTTATTGTTGTGGTCGCAGGATGAATGGGTTGTGTGCAGGATTTTCCACAAGAGCACTGGAATCAAAAGAAGTCCAATTACAGATACAGGTGGTGGTTCAAGTCTAACAAGGATGAACTTCTTTGGGAATGATGCTGATGCTGATGATGATGACGATGATGGTCGGTTTCTGTTGGATTGTCCTTGGCTGCCACCTCTAATGGACCCTTCTGAATATCCCTACTCCATCAATGAAAGACCAGCACTAGCAGCCGGTTCAAGCTTTAATACAGATATTGGTGAAGAAGATGAAATCAAGGGGACAGCTGCTATATTAAAAGCTCATAATTCCTCGTCATCAGCAGCCGCAAGATCATCAGATCATCACGGAGATTATAATTACCTCTCCCACTTCTCCACAAACTTGAACGACCATCAACTATTTGAAAATCAACAAGAAGACCGCAAGATCGATCATTTTTTTATTATGTCCCAAAGTAACTGTAACTACACCACCACTGGCACTGGTACTACTAATTACCAAGCCTATCCAATCAACCAACCGACTTCACCTGCTGATTCTTATGATCCTGTCTTCCCTTTTCAAGATCCAAATCTTGGTTACTTGCACCGAGAACAAGAACAGAGAATAGCAATTATCGGTGAGAAGAATATCCCAAGCTTTACAGCAGGAGGAGGAGGATCCAGCAGCCTCAAGCAGCGGCAGCAGCAGGTGGTAACCGGACTCAGCAAGATGGGACAATTCTCCTCTAACCAGTCGATGGTCAGCGTCTCACAGGACACTGTGACCACCGACCTGACCGCTGAGACATCCTCTGCAATGTCAACAAAGAAACACATGGGAAGCAACACGTCTTATGAAGACGACATTGAGGATCCTTCAATTGGACGTGGCCCCATTTCAGACTTGGATGATTATCTATGGAACTACTAGGGGTCAGCCTGCCTGCCTGTTGCTGAAGCTAAATTCAACCCGTTAGTTCAAAGAATTAATTAGATTTTTAAGGTTCTCAATTGATTTTAAGAATACTGCATGTACAGAAACAGATTAGATTATTCATAACTAATTGTCCTGGCTGGGCCTTTTCAGATTACATTTGTAGTTGTAGCTACTGATACTGATAGATTGATCCCCACGAACACAACTCTTTATGTACATAATCCATTCTTTCATTAAGCTTAGTAGGTGCGTTTGTTCATTCTCTCTCCTTCTTCTTCTTCTTTTTCTTCTTCTTTTTTAATTTTTTTTGTTGCAGTGCAAATATTACATACAAATTGCATAAATTAATCTTCTGCTAAAACCCCTTATAATTGTTTTGAGAAATAGATAATTAACTAAAGAAAGAGGAGAGAAGAATATTTTATCAGTTTCAAGTTGATTATGCAGAAATGACAATTGTTCATCGAGATTTACTTTTACACACAAAAACAATCTGAATTTGAAATACAGTAGGATACTTTCTCAGAACTCAAATTGATCACTTCTCTGATCTAGTTTGTTTTTAATTATATCTAAATCTAGAGAGATTAGTCCCATATTTTGAATTTGTGATTCATACAATACCATATTTTTTCTTGTGATCCGTTTAGTCTTTTTGGATGTGTAATGACACATTTATCCACTATAATGGAGTGTCATATTTGAAAAAAAGTATACCAAAGAATTTTTAATATCACATCATACCCGCTACGTTGGAGTGTCACATTTGAAAAAAAGTACACTAATGAGTTTTTAATTTTTTTTTGCAATTACATCATACCCGCTACGTTGTCACATTTGAAAAAAATACACTAAGGAGTTTGTAGTTTTTTTTGGAGTATTACATCACTTGTACTTTTTTTAGAGTGTTACATCATACCAGTCACGTTAAAGTGTCACATGTTACATTTGAGAAAAATACACTAAAGAGTTTTTAAATTTTTTTTTTTTGGAATATTACATTATACCGGTCACATCATCACATTTAAAAAAAAATATTTTTAGTTGTCACATCATACCTGCGATGTCATCATATTTAGTAAAAATACATTAAGGAGTTTTAGGGCTTGTTTGGTTTGTATTTGAAAAATATATTTTGAGATAAAAAAATACGAAAATTTGTTTGGTTCAGTTTTTTTTTAAAAGATATTTTGAAAAATTATTTTGAGAGAGAGTTTTGAAAAAAGTGATTGATTTGATATGTATGAGAGAAAGATTTGTTTGGAAAACTTGTAAACCAAACAAGTTTTGGAAAAAAAATTTAAAAAAATTTGTTTGATTTGATTACTTTTAAATACTTATTTGTAAAGAATTTTTCTCAAAATTTTTTGAGAAACACAAACCAAACAAGGCCTTAGTTTTTTTTGGAATGTCGCACCATAACCGTCACATTTAAAAAAAATACACTAAGGAGTTTTTACTTGTCACATCATACCTGTCACATCATTATATTTAGGAAAAGTACATTAAGAAGTTTTTAATTTTTTTTAGAGTGTCACGTTATATCTATCACATCGTTACATTTGAAAAAGGGCAAATTACAAACACCCCCCTCGAGGTTTGGTGAAAATACAGATTCTCCCCTGAGGTTTGAGAAATTACATCCCGCTCCTTGAGGTTTATATTTCCATAACAAATTGCCCCCTGAGCTTTTTATTTTCATACAAATTCTCCCCTAATTTCTCTTAATTTGTTATGAAAATTTGACCCTCAGGGGGCAATTTGTAATTTCTCAAATCTCAGGGGGAATCTGTATTTTTATCAAACCTCAAGGGGGTGTTTGTAATTTGCCCTTTGAAAAAAAAATATATTAAGGAGTTTATACTTGTCACATCATACATGTCACGTCATCACATTTAAGAAAAGTACACTAAGAAGTTTTTAGTTTTTTGGAGTGTTACATCATACCCGCCACGTTAGAGTGTCACATGTTAAATTTGAAAAAAATATACAGAAGAGTTTTTTTTTTTTTTTTTTTTTTTTTTTTTTTTAAAGTGTCACATGTTCGTTTAGAAAAAAGTACACTAAGAAATTTAATTTTTTTGGAGTGTCACATCATATCCGTTAGAGTGTCACGTCATACTTGTTACATTAATAAAATAGTATAGTCGTCCACTAAAACATTATCAAAATAGAAAATAAAACCACATGAACCGAAATTTTCCACTAATAAAACTTAGCAGATCAATAAAAAAAAATTAAAACTAATTAAAATACTTATTTGTGAGATGGATTTATTAATAAATATCTCCTAAATCTATCCAATGGGTGTGACTGACATCTCATTAATTTTAATTCATATAATTAACAGCTACATGTATTGCAATTCTTTGTAATATAATAATTAATTAAACTTCTTTATTTGTTGAGTAATAGATAAGTTAATATAATAAAATTTACATGAATTGTTGGCGGAATTGATGCATTAGATTCCGCCAGTCGGGTTTGGAGAAGAAGCAACAATAACATTGGACGTTAACAAAGCGTAAGTTTCTTGAATATGATGACTGCTTTGCTTGGTTCCTTTGCTTTTCTCTCCTCCCCCCTCTCCTCTGTAACCGCAGTTTAACTCTCAGAAGAATATTCTCTCACATGTTCCACATTAGAAATCATTAACTTACACGATTTCGTTTCCTTGTAAGGCAGCGCATTTTTTCAGAATCTTTTTCTGCATCCCATATATATTAGGCCTATTTGTTTTGATTTGCAAAATGAAGGGGATTGATAGTAACGAAATTATTAGTTGGAGGATTGATAGTAAAGGGATTAAGTAAATTTGTGTTTATTTTGATAATAGTTATTAGTGTAGGGATTGTTAAATTATTTTTATATAAAATAATATAAAAAATATAAAAACATTAAACATTAATGTTTTTAAAAAAATTCTCAACATGTAAAAAATTTTAAAAAAATTAAAATAAAATAAAAAATATCCAGAAAAAAATAAAACAAATAAAATAATAATTTTTACTTAACAAAAAAAATAAAAAATTAAACATTAATGTTAAAAAAAAATGCCCGACATGTAAAAAATAAAATAAAAAATAAATAAAAATAAAAAATTTCTAGTTCGCCGGATTATTTTTCTAATACCAAGTTCTGGAGGCCCATCCGAATCCCCTTGGAGAAGCCTATCATAATCCGGAGCTCACTATCATTCCCCTTCCCATCTCTCAAAACAAACAAAATATTAGTAGGTTCCACCTCACTACTAATCTCAATCCCTCTTCTAACTATCCAAACAAATGGGGCCTTAATACCATCTATTATTAATACCTTCTTAGGCTTTGTTTGGCAAAAATAAGTTGAGACAAAAAAAACTACAAAAAAATCAAATAGATTAAATAAGTTAATAAGATAAAATATCATATTTAAATCATAACTATTTCAATTTTTCTTTTATAAAAATCAAAAAAGTCAACCCAAATGAACTTTTTAATTACAAACTAAAAAAGTCTTAACTCAAAAAAATTAACTAAAAAGTCCTAACGAAACGACAACTTAATAAGAGAACAAACAAGTCCAAAAATAAAAAGTTACTCTCAATTTCTTCACACGTTCCTAAATATTTTGAGAAATTGTTATACATCAATTAGATTTAATCATTCGACTCATGATGCTGAGATATTTAACCGTTCTCAAATAATTTTCATATGTTTTAATAAAGGCAAATGTTAATAAGTATCTTCTAAACATTACTTAATTTTAAAAAATGTATAAAAAGTGTCTTAAGAATATATAAAAATGGTAAAAGGTATATTAATTTCAATAAATGTAGTAAAAAGTGACTTATATTCTTTAATTCTTTCAAAAATATTAGAGACCCCAAATATTTTACTAAAAATTCTTTTAAATGTCTCATATAGGTGTAGCATTACTCTAATTCTTTTGTTTTACTTATGTTTTAAAAGCACATGTTAACAAAAATCTATTAATAAATAAATATTCATTAATTTCTATTGACCACACAAAAAGTTATTATTGGCAATTTTTCATTTCAGAAAGTACTAACGCTTCAAAAAAGTACTAATGCCTCAACTTGAACTTTTTTACACGGCTATCAAAATTATTATGGATTCTCAAAAAATTATTATTAACATACGAAAAATTAGAAATTTATAATTTTATACTCAGAAACTCACCTATAATAATGTGATATGAAAAATGGATTCTATGTAATTAAGTGTGTAATAAATTAACAGGGCCGGCCCTGGCCTAAGGCCAGTAAGGCCTGGGCCTTAGGCCCCAAAATTTTGGCCTCAAAATAGGGCTCCCAAATTTGATAAAATATTATAGGCTTAATGTTTTTTTTTTTTTGATTTTAGGATCAATTTAAAGGGCCCCAAAATATTTATTGGGTCCATGTATAGTTTAGCCTATACTTATTTATAAGTGTAGTTTTTTTGTTTATATTTATTAAAATGAAAATATATATATAAAAAAAAATGTTTTGGCCCAAGAAAAATAATACATACAATATATGGGCCCTATTTTTTTTTTTTAACCTTCTTTATCTATTAGATTTTAGAAGAATAAATAATTTTGCCCAAATTTTTTTACCTAGGTCTTTATCAGTTTTAATTGAATAATTTTTTCCTAATTTTTTTGCCCTAATTTTGTTTCATTAAATTGTTTTGTTTATAATTTTAATGATTATATATGCAAGTAAATTTTTTTATGGCTACAAATAAATAAAAAAAAGTTATAACTTATCGTTTATTCATGAATTTTTTTTTTTCAACGTAAGAAGGGCCCCCATTTTTAAAGTTCACCTTAGGCCCCCTCAACCTCAGGGCCAGCCCTGTAAATTAACAACATAGGCATATTATACCAAATTATTATAGGTCAAATTATGTAAAAAAAAAAAATAGAAATATCTAATGTTTTGCTTAACATAATAACACTTTCCTTTTTGCAAATAGAGTATCAAGACCATCTTCAATGGTTATTCAAACATTTCATCAAATTTGATGAAAGTTGAGACCTTTTGTTGCTCCAACGGTTGCATCAAATAAGTATTAAATTAAGGATTTCACTTTTTTGTCATCAAACTGAGGACCAATGTGTCTTTATCAAATCATTGTTCATTACCATTGCCAGACATCCCCCGGATGTCCCCTCGAATGTCCTCCCTAATGACCACCTTAAGGTAAAAATTTATGAAAAAATTGCACTGGCCGGTCAACCGCCCGATCTACCACCTCAAGGCAAAAATAAATA